CCCAGTTTTCACAGCACGCTGTAGGATTTTGAAATAGAAAGAGGGGACACTGAGGACTCTTTCCCAGGAATCAGCTTTATTTGTGCCAGCACTGATCACATTCAAAGGCTGAGTTTGGGGCTGGGGATGCAGCTCAGCAGCACAAGTGCCTGCCTGGCAAGCACAAGGTCCTGAGTTCAATTCCCAGTACAAAAAACAAACCAAAAAACCAAAGGCTGAGTTCAGAACATGGCCTCATTGCACTCTCTTATACAATTCTTGTGTCTTTGTCTCCTGTATCTGGTCATACACTAACATTCTACAGTTGGGTTGGGTATACATTAACAATCTAAATCTAGTTGGGTATGCTTTATGTTAATGTTACATCAGAACTAGGCATGCCTACACAGTATGGAGGCTGATATTGCTACATTGTAAAAAGTTCCCACCCCAATACATTGGAAGGAGTCCTACCACATTTCCCCCTTTGATGCTCAGACCCGCTTCTATTTTGGGTTAAAAAGCAACCACCCTGGTTCAGGGGTTTATGTTTCATCACATATGTGGCCATTTTTCTTTTGGCCATTATCTCAGTGAGGCTGGAGACAGAATGTATAACCAGGGGAGCCAAGCAAGGCAGCATCAAAGGGTTCCCAAAATCAGAAGTGTGATACCTCTGAGGGTTTTGCATCCCCCAGGAGTTTAAAGCAACTCCCCAAACAGTTCCCTGGGTCCCAACCTTTCCAGCTCTGGGTTGGAACATGAGCAACTTTCCTATTCGATCTGTAATCTACTCTATGACCTCTGTAGGAAGCAGTTGCTTAGATTAAATTTCCCACAAACTCCTCCCCCAGAAGCAAGCAGACAATCTAAAGCCAAGGGATTTTGACAGATAGCAATATGCATTTTGGTTTGTTATTTGGCTACCAAGTTAAAAGCTTTAGCAGTTTCATTAGTTACAATTACCACAATTGCTCACGGTTTAATTATGTGGTTTAGCATATAAATGGGGGTATGATAGCCGCAGCACCTATCTTCTGCCCAGGTGGCAGGATCAAAATACTGAATTATGCATTCAGGGGATCATCTGTTGTCTTTCCAACTGCCAATCTGCAGAGTATGCCATTTTCTATGGGTCCCCCTGAACCCATACATTGGACCCCCAGATGGCAAGTGGTAGTAAAGAGAAAGACAGGTGCTTGTCTTTAATATACAAGACCCTGACCAGTTTGGGGAAGTACTGCATATGCAGTTCTTCCACATATCCAGTACAGTCCCTCTGGGGTCTGCCCCTTCCCCCCATACCCCTTAGATGAGAAAAGTTAAAGGGTAAGAGTTTGGTTCCAAGTAGTCAGAGGAACCATACCACTGTATCTTCCGGGGCAGCTGAGTTGCAGACACAGTAGGTCTAGGCTCACTACACAGATAGTGAACCATCCTCCAGTTTCTTCCAATTATTGAGGTCTTGAGAAGCCAAACCCCTGAGGTAGAACTGGGATCTCTTGTGCCAATAAAAGGTTCATTAGGATCTAATTCTGTAGCTACCCATGGCCATTGATATCTTATGTTGGTTCCCCCACATACATAGCAAGAAGAGACCTTCAGTCTCTGCTAGAGCTAAAAACAAGTTTTTGGTTGTGGTCAGGATTGGAGGAGGGGCTACCTTCTTTTTCCTCACAAAATGAGTGAAAAACCTGATAAAATGTGGCCACTTGGACAGTAGAGACCCTCTTGAAATGTAGTACAGTCCCTGGGACATATATACATATATATCTCCCAATCTGGAGGGCTATTTTCCTACTTTGGGTCTTCTAGATTACAGATAATAAAGCTAAGACCCCCTTTGGAGGAGTGCAGCCTTATCTTTACCCTTCCAAGTGACCCACAAAACACAGCTCCAGTAGAAGCAGTAAGTCCAGTGGTCACTGTAACAGGCAGATTGGGGCAATGCCTGTTCACCTATACTTATCATTGGGCCTGTATTCTCGTTCCTATGATAACCCTGCACATTTTAGAACTACACAGGGATTTTTACAAATGCCCACAAACACACATCAAAAAATACTGATACGGGCGGGTGCAGATTTGTAACCCAGGTTTTGTTATTTAACGGCCCTTCATCCTGGGAGTGTTGGACTTAAAACCACTCCTCAGTCAGGGAGTATTTGCATCAAAACAGGTATACGGATTCAAATGTTGGCAGATAAAATAGGTTGCTTTATTATGTGTGCAGGTCCCATAGGTCCTCCCTAAGTATGAGAGGTGGGTGTAGTACAGTAAGGTCCAAGTAACTCCCTGGCCTGACCTGGTTAGGTGAATACACCTGTTACATGATGGGGAACTCAGGTTCACCAATGGGGGCCCTGAGGAAAATCAGTCAATACCACAGGAAAAAGGTGAGGGCCAGCAAGCACCTCTTGCCACATTTCCAGTCAGCAAGGGCTATGGCAAAAAGCAGGGCTAGAGACCCAAATAACAGTTAAGAGCAAGAGATGGTGGCTCATTACAATCAGCCACAAAAAGCATGCAGTCCACCTGTGTCACCAGTGGGCAGTGTCTTCAGGCTTCTGTCACGTAGACTAGTCAGCCTCCAGAGCTTACATGGCACTTCCAAGTCGGGGACATAGTGGGGTGAATCCAGGGCACGATCTCATGCACCTTCACTGCAGTGGGGGTGGATAGGATAACTGTGAATGGGCCCCTCTAGAGAGGTTTCAGGGATTAACATTCCCTTCTTTTACCCACACAGCATCCCTGGCTTGAAAGAGTAAGCATCTGTGGTCAAACTTGAGGGCAATTGTTCCTTAACCCACTGGTGTTGGGTGGCTAAGGCTGAGCTTAATGCCTGCATCTGTTGTCTCAGAATGAGGTTTCCAAACTCCTTTTAAATACCCTCTTGTGCCCTTAATAAGAGGAGGGGGGCCACCAGCAGAAAACCTCAAAAGGGAAAGCCCTGTATGTTTAGTGGGATGAGATCTCATCCTCAGCAGAGCTATCAGCAAGAGTTGGTCCAGTGCAGGTGAGTTTCCTGGCACAGCCTGCTCAGCTATAGCTTTACAGTCTAGTTCATTTACTCCACCTTCCCTGAACTCTGGGTACAGCATGCCACATGCAGTTTCCAAGTAATCTCTAGTCCCCTGGACACTAGCTGCACCACCTCTCTGATGAATGCCAGCACACCGTATGAACCTATGGTAACAGGAATTCCACAGTAGAGGATTATTTCTCTCAGAAGGATCCAGGCACCTCAAATGCCATTTCTGTGTAGGTGAGGAAGGCCTTTATCCAGCCTGAGAAAGGGCACACAAAAACCAACAAATACTTGTAGCCACAGATTCGGGGAAGTTCAGTAAAATCCACAATCATATTTTCAAATGGGGCTCCCCCCACTTTAACCCCAGCAGCAGCCCTGGGCCTTTGTCCTAGGTTATTGTGGGCACACATTTCACATTGTTCACACAGCCCGACTATTTTGGTGAGCAGGGATGGAGAAATGTCAACTCACAGTGATCTTCAGAGCTACCTGGCCCATACAGGTGTCCTGATGAAACTTTCTAACAAAAACTGGGCCCAGAGACTCAGGGATTGCTACCAAGCCGTCTTTAAACTTCTGCCATCTGCTTTGGAGGTAACCTCCATCCTTAATCTTAAACCAGGCAGTCTCACATTGTGAGTAATCAGGGTCCCATTCTGTTAACTGCCTGGGGAACAGTGGGGCGGTCATGGCCATGGCCTCTGCTGTTCCCCTGGTGACACCAGCTTAGCTTCTAGGTCTGCTTTATGTTTCCCTGAGTGGTTATGGTGTATCCCCTTTGATGTCCCTGACAGTGCATGACTGCCACCTGTTTAGGGACCCATACAATATCCAAGAGTTGAAGGATTTCCCTGCCATATTTTATGTTTTTTTCTCCTGAGTTTATCAGGCCCTTTTCTTTATATAGAGCCCTGTGCAGATGAAGGGTGGTGAAGGCATACTTAAGAGTCCATGTATATGTTGACACATATTCCTGCTGCCAGCTAAAGTGCTCAGGTTAGAGCAATGAGCTTCACTTTCTGTGCTGAGGTCCCTTTTGGCTGAGATTTTGCCTCAGTGATGGGATTCAGGGTTACCATGGAGTGCCCTGAAAGCCATTCTCTATCTTTCACAAAACTGCTACCATCTGTGAAATAGTTGGCATCAGGATGCTTGAGGGGCTGATCCCCTAAATCCAGTTGGCTGGCAAATACCTCATCCATGACCTCAATGAAGTCATGATCTGGCTGGCCAGGCCCTACTGGCACTCAGGTTGCCTGGTTCAGGGTCCGCACTGCTTCTAAGTGAATGTGTGGACTTTCACATAGCGACCCCTGATATCTGACCATCGGAGCATTAGCCAGCGTTGTCCCTTGTGCTCCATTAATGTGAGCATTGATGGTGGCACCTGGACCATTACTTCTTGACCCACAGTCAGTCTGTCAGCTTCTGCTACTAAGAAGGCTGTAGATACAAGTGTTCACAAACAAGATGGCCAGCCCTGGGCGACAGGGTCAAGTCACTGGAGAGCTGTGCCATGGGTGATGCCAGGGTCCCAGCACCTGGGTTGAAACTCCCACTGCTATCCTGGTACACTTGTGGACATACAATTAGAAAGGCTTAATCACATCCAGAAGCCCCAGACCTAGTGTGTCGGTAAGGGCTTGTTTGATCTCTTCAAAGGCTTTTCACCATTCCCATTCTCATAACAAGTTCTCACCCCCGCACACACACACACACTTTATGCCCTTAAGAAGGGGTTTTGCCAAGACAGAAGTTAGGTGCCCAGATGCTACAGAAACCTGAAGCCCCGAGGAACTCTCAGACCTGGCATCTGGTCGTTGGAACTGGGATTGAACAAACTACTCATATTCTCTCAGACTCGAGATGGCATTGTCCCTGTGACAAGTGGAAACCAAGGTACTTAACTTTCTCCTGGCAAATCTGAGCCTTTCTTGAGGCCTTATAGCTGGCCTCCCACAGGAGAGTGAGGAGCAATCACGTCCTTTCCATTTAGCCTTTCTATGTTCGGCTGGCTGACAGTGGGTCATCTATACACTGGAATACTACACAGCCATGTTGGCCCTCAGGGAAGGCCTTCAGGTCAGTGGCCAGAGCTGTGCTGAAAATAGGGAATTTTTGAACACTTGGGGTAGCCTTGTCCGAGTCAGCTGGCCTTTGTCACCATTTTCTGGATTTTCACAAAAACTGGCAGGCTCTGTAGGGCCAGACAGATGCAGGCGAAGGCATCCTTTAGATCTAGACATGGAAAGAAGGTTGCTTTGGTGGGGACAAGACACAAGAGACTGTAAGGATTTGGGACAACTATGTGTGGGGTAACAGTGGCCTGGTTTACTGTTTGCAGATCTTGAACTGGCCAGCAGTCATCTGCGCCCTGTTTTTGGACAAGCAGGAGAGGCGAGTTCCAAGGCTCTGGCTTCTAGATCAGAGGACCCCATACTCTAGAAGCCATTTGTAGAACTGTATTGGGCTTTCTGCTGGCCCCTGGAGTGCCTCTGAAGTTTTGCTCATGTTCATGGTCCTTTTCTTCTTTTATGCCCTTTAAGAGGGCCTCCTGGTGCTGTGTGATTGAGGCAAGCCCGGCTTCTGAGTTCAGGTCCCCCTGGGGACCCTCTCCTGGGAACTGGTTGAGGGTGTAAGCCTGGGGATTGAGCATTCTGGCCAGTGCACTTTTTTCCAACCATTGTAGGGCGGCTTGAGTAACCCACTGGTGCTCCTCAGTGTTGAACAGGGTTAGGGGGAGTTGCTGGCAATCAGTCCAGGTGGGCTGGTGTGTCTGGAAAATAGACAGCACCAAGTCAATCACTGTCTGGGGTTTTTCAGTATATGAGGGTATATGGTTCTTCCAATTAAGAAGTTCAGTGGTGGTGAAGGGTTGATACATTATACTCATTCCCTCCTTGGATCTGTCCCTGTGGGTCACAGTAAATGGGTCCTGCATCTCTCAAAGTGGCATCTCCATGGCACCTCAACTGAACCTGAGGGTTGGGCTGCTGAAGGTGTTCTCTCAACAAGTGCCACAGGTGTGGGGAGTCAGAACAAGCAGCTCAGGGGAGGCCACCATCGCAGGGGTCTTCAGGAGGACTCAGATGATGTTGGGAAAGAGGCAGCCCCTGGGGCTGACTGGCTCTGGTAAAGCCTCCGCAGCAGGGGCCACAGGTGGCTGTGGCAGCAATGGATACTGTAGGACACATGGAGGTAGGCCTTCTTCTGACTCTCCAGATAAAATCAGTCTGACTTTGGATGACATTTGGAGGTGACCATGACCGGCATCATTACTCTACACTTCTCCTCAATGCAAGCTTTCGGCCAAGGTGGCCGAGACGGGGCCAAGTTTTGCCAACAGACAGTGTAAGGAAATTGCCTAGGATGGTCAGGGTCCCCAGCAACAACCCTGAACACTTGGCTAATTATCTCCTTATCAAGTGAGCCCTCAGTGGGCCTCCCACCCCAAATGATGGCCAGTTAACTTCACAGACAGTCCAGAGCTTCCCAGGAGTCAGCTTAACACCACAGTCACCTGAATATTCCCCTTTAAAATTCTTTAGTATACACTCTAGGGAAGTCAGTTTACTCTGCTTTCCACCCACTTCCTCCTCCTAACAGACACCTTTCAAACAAAAGAGAGGGAAGAGGTAAGGGGAAAGTTTTAACTGAAGGTCACACACTCACTTTGTCCATCTCTGGCAGACTTATTCAAGGAGATATTTCAGGCTCCTCATAACATTGGCAAACTCCTAGGGGCCTATCATTGCGCCTAGCCATATGAGGGTCATCATGGAACCACAGCCCGGGACTCAACACTCACTTCGGCCCTGTGGCCGGGTCAGAGCCTTCCTGCCCATTCACACACACACAGGCAAGGACTCCAACCCTGGGTCCGGCACCCAGTGCCCCAGGCTGTTTTTGTTTCGGCAGCTCTGGTCCTCCAGTCTGCTGCCTGGTTCCTAGGATCTCAATTTCAGTTTCAATGAAACTTACTTGGCAGTTCTGGGAGGCAGTCAGTCTCCCCTCCTGTCTCTTTACAGCAGGACTACCAAACTGAACCTGGATCTTACCAGATCTGGTGGTGGCACTCCCTGAGCTGGTTCCTGGCCTTCCTGTCCTGCTGTACATCCACAGTTCTCGTCCCAGCATGTAAGGAGGGGCCAATCTCCCAACAGATCACACAGTCCGCTGGTGCCAGGCGGTGAGGGCAAGTCTCCGGTGCTCTGAGATTCGGTTTGGACTCTGGCAACAAAGAAGGTGGAATTACACCCTCTCAGAATCCCAGCCACAAGCTCCCGGATGCTGCAGGGTGTTTGTGTAGAGAGACGGACATCATCAACAACTACAAAAAACAACAACAACAAAAAAAAAAGAACTAGAGAAGGGCTGGGGATTTAGCTCAGCTGCACAGCGCCTGCCTGGCAAGCTCAAGGTAGTGAGTTCGATTCCCGGTACTGGAAAGAAACAAACAACAACAACAACAAAAAAAAGAGAAACAGACATCAAGGACATTTTCCCAGGAAACATTTGTGCTGGCATTGATAAGAGGATTTGTATTCAAAGGCTGAGAGCCAAACATGTCGTAGCTACACACTTTTATACAGTTTTTGTGTCTTTGTCTCCCTTACATGGGCATAAACTAACATTCTACAGTCTGGTTGGGGTGTACATTAACGTTTTAAGGACTGGCTGGGAATGATTTATGATTTACATTGCAGAGTTATATCAGAACTACACATGTGTACACGGGCTGATATTACTACATTGTAAAAAAGTTCCCACCCCCACATTCAGGAGGGACCCTACCACAACAGAGCCATCTTTGAGCCAAATTGTTTGAATTTTTCCCCAGGTGTAAGGGATTTAACCCACAGCCTTGTGCATGATAGGCATGTGCTCCTCCACTGAACTACATCCCGAGCCCCTGAATCAACTTTAAAATTTTTATTCCTCAGAGGCTGTGGACATTTATTCTGACGGTAGACATCAGCAAAAACTGAAAGACTATGTTTATAATCCCAGCTGAGGAGGAGTAGGAGGCTGAGGCAGGAAAACTGCAAGTTTGAGGGCAGCCCAAACAATGTAGTAAGGCCCTGTCTCAAAATAAAAATGGCTGGGGATGTAGCTCGGAGTAAGGCCCTGGGCTCAATCTCCAGTACATCTGGAAAAAAAAAAAAAGAAAAGGAAAAATGAAAGCCTAGCTAGGCATACTTACTTTGTATAAAACATACAAATATATAAATAAGTTACAAGAATCCAAAAAGGTAGTTATAGAATAAGCATTAGTGTGGATCTAATAACAACTGAGAAGATTTTGCAAGCTGATTTTGCTCTACATAATCAATTATACAAACATGGGATGTGACAGGACAACTTACAGTCTCCATTTGCATTAGCTAAGTAACAATCTACAAGGAACTGTAAATGGTACAGGGAGTGGGGCTGGACAGACACTCCTTTAAAGACTAAAAGACAACAAAAATTAACAGCCTTCAGGGTAACACTAGACTCATACTTAGGTAAAACCAGAGCAGAGAAGGATCCCGTAAACTTAGTGCTTGACTTGGTATAATAATAAGCCTAATACCATGCTATTCTTGAGAAACCCTTGTAGAGGTATCAGCAGCATCCTGAAGGCTACAGACCCACCTCAGATATCCATTTTAGGGCCAGCTTATTCCCCAACAATGCCAGATCATTCTACACAAAGTCAGAAATGTAAACAGAAAGCACACTCAGGGAAAATTACTTTGGAAACTGAGTTTTCAATCCTTCCTTCAGGCATTGTTTTTAACCAACCACCAGGGCAGAAGATGCCTTTGTTTTATCAGTGCACACTGAAAGTGAAATTTTAATGAGATGATCATGAAAGGTGAATGAAGAGTCAGAATTATTAGCTTAACTTCTAACATTGAGCTAAGTATTCTGTATGCTGGGTTGTCCAGGAGAATCACCTGGAGAGCTTTAAAAATTCCTAATGCTCTGGCCCCATCCCAGGGTAGTTACAGAACTTTTGAATCTCAGGGCTAGGATCCAGGCATCAGCACTTTTTAAAGCTCCCCAGGTAGTTGCAAGATATAGCACAGTTAAGAATGAAGCGCTCCGCAGGGAGTTAGTCCGAGTTGTGAATATCAAATATTCTTAATTAAAGCAGGATAAACTAAGTAGGCATCCTAGGAATACAGTACCCTGAAATGTTACCCAATTGCATACCAAACTCTATAATTCTAACAGTTTTTTTCTTTTTCAGTCAAATGTGCCCAGCTTTGACTTTCTCATCTCCAGACATTTCCAAAGCAGAGGTGATGACTTCCTACACTCAGATATTTTTCCTTGCTTGTGGTGAGCTAGAGGTACAAACTAACTGAGAAAAAGAAATCTCATCTCCGTTCCTCCACCCTCCTTACTTGGCCTTCCCAGAAGAGAAAATAAATAAAGACTAACTTCTCTTAAATGTTTCAAAACAAAATAATTAAAATGACTTTTTGAGTAAACAACTATGAAACTCAATGAGCTATTTCCTTTATTTTTTAATAGCACAGACTCGGGGTCTATCATGGAAATAGCTGTATTCTTTCACCTCTGCAAAATCACTCTGAAATTACATCACAGGAGGGTTGCCTGTGCCCCATGGTATGTGAGGGTTCTGAATAGCACGTACCCCTTTGGCCACTTGGACCCCTGCCTGCTGAGCTGGAGTGGTGTTTTTCCCAGTTTACAAAGCCTACCTTACTATACGGCACCATGACAATTTGCCCAGCGTAACTGGAAGACATTACGTAAACCTGATTGAGGACACTTAGTAAACAATAATGAAAAAGACAATTTGAATTGTCCTAAAGCTTGACACGCTCCCTGAAGCTTGAAATACAAGGGGTAGTGGTCAGATTACTGGATTTCTAAGAAAAGAGTCATTCTCTCCACTAACACTTTTAAAGCAATCATGAAAAGAAGCATCAAAAATCTTCCAGATCACAAATGTCTCTTTCCTTCAGAAGGCATTCAGGTATTAAGAGAAATGAAAATATTCCCCAGCTGCCTGGCGTAAATCGTTGTTCATTCTAATCAGGAGGTTGGTTGCAATACTACTACACGATTTTGCTTCCAAGTAGGTGCTATTTTTTTGTTTCTCGATATAAAATAAGGGAACTCTATTCAGCAACGCAAAAGAAGGAAGTATTCAAACATACACACTACAGCATGGATGAGCCTCAGAAATAGTGAAAAATGCCCCATAGGGTATGGCTCTATTCATAGGAAATCCTTACAAGACCATAGGGAGGGAAAGCAGGGCAGTGGTTAAGATTGAGGGAATGCAAAGATTGCAAAGAGGTCATTTTGAGAGTGACAGAAATGTTGTAAAACTGGATTGAGGGTTATACAACTATATAAACTAAAAAGCATTGAATTATATCCTTAAAATGGATGGACCTGTAACATACAAACTATAACTAAACCTATTGGAAAAAAAATTATATTGTACCAGGAACGATCTATGGGGCTGGTTCTTATCTACCACACAGGTCATTTGTCTCAAAATTCCTCATGAATTCTGCTTTCTCGATGTCCACTTAAAAAAAATTAGAATAATTGGGGCAAGGCTGGAGGGGATCGCACACAACCAAATCCAAGTTTGTGCTCAACTACAACAGACACCAGAGCCGGGAATTTGAAAAGGCAATCAGGTATAAATAAAGGTTCTCGATCTTGAAGAGGTGTGGCTGTATTCATTACAGTAACTGGAGTCCTGGACAACTGATCTCCAGCAGAAGCGAAGTCGGAAGCCTGAATCTCCAACAAATACTCAGGCAGTGGGCAGGTTTTCTAATACCTGAAGGGCGCGCGTTGGCCAAATCCAGGTTGGTTTTACTTTAGGAGTCGGAACTCGTTCCAGCAGAGCACGAGGTCGGGAAGTTTCGAGGACCCGGCAGCCCTCCCGGGGACCCCGCGCTGGACGGATGACGGCGGGGCCGGCGGGGCCCGCCACCCGCCCGGCCTTCCCGCCCCAGCGCCGTCCTGCGTGCGCCCGTGGGGGTGAATCCCGCCCCCCTCGCCCTAAGCCACGACCCACCCGGCTCCCGGGGCTCGGGGGCCTTCGGGGCTCCTTGGAGACCGGCGGACGCCGCGAGGAGCGGCCCAGGCTGCGCGCCGCGGGGGGGAGGCGCCTCCAGCCCGCCTCCCC